AGTCTTCATTAAAAGTGTTTTTTTTTTTAACCTTTTAGAGCTAGACTCATTTTTTTTCCTGTTCATATATTACTTTTTTTTTGGTGTCATGCCTTTTTTTTTTAGTAAATATAATTTTCCAAAGTACAGTTTATGGATTACAATGGCTTTTTCCTCCCCATAACTTCCCTCCAACCCGCACCCCTCCCATCTCCCGCTCCCTCTCCCATTCCATTCACATCAAGATTCATTTTCAATTATCTTTATATACAGAAGATCGATTTAGTATATATTAAGTAAGGATTTCATCAATTTGCACCCACACAGAACATAAAGTATAAAATACTGTTTGAGTACTGGTTATAGCATTAATTCACATTGGACAACACATTAAGGACAGAGATCTCACATGAGGAGTAAGTACACAGTGACTCCTGTTGTTGACTTAACAATTTGACACTCTTGTTTATAGCATCAGTAATCACCCTAGGCTCTAGTCATGAGTTTCCCAGGCTTTGGAAGCCTCTTAAGTTCGCTGACTTTGATCTTATTTAGACAAGGTCATGGTCAAAGTGGAAGTTCTCTCCTCCCTTCAGAGAAAGCTACCTCCTTCTTTGATGGCCCGTTCTTTCCACTGGGATCTTACTTGCAGAGATCTTTCATTTAGGTCCTTTTTTTTTTTTTTCCGAGGGTGTCTTGGCTTTCCATGCCTAAAATACTCTCGTGGGCTCTTCAGCCAGATCCGAATGCCTTAAGGGCTGGAAAAAAAAAAAAAAAAAAAGAAAAAGAAAAAAGAGAGAGAGAGAGATTTACCATGCCTAACCTGGGAGTGTCACCTTTGGCACACCCTTAACCCTGAGGAGCCAAACAGAGCTCTCTGGCCACACCCATCTCAAGCCTCTAAGGCTCCATCAAAAGCAGACAGTCCACTTAATACAGTCATAGTATAACAAGAAAAAAAAACAAAACACCACAGCAAGGGAAGAAGAATCCAAAGAATATCTCCACAATGCCAAGCAACAAACGCAGAAACCGAGGAAACAAGAACAAGGAAGACATAATGACACCCCCGAATGAACAAGACATCTCAAGCCAAGATTATGAAGATGATGAGATGGAAGAAATGCAAGATACAGATTTCAAAACATTTATAAGAACATTTAGAAGTTTTCAAAAACAAATGCTTGAGCTATGTAAATCCTTACTGGACAGGATAGAAAATCTCTCTCATGAAAATGAAATCTTAAGGAGGAATCAAAATGAAACACAGAAACTAGTAGAACAGGAAAGTGTGATAGTGAAGAGAAATCAAAATGAAATGAAGAACTCAATAGATCAAATAACAAACACATTAGAGATCCTTAAAAACAGAGTCAGTGAAGTAGAAGAGAGAATATCAGACTTAGAAGACAGAGCACAGGAAAGTATATAGTCAAACCAAAGAAAAGAAGAGGAAATTAGAAATCTAAAAAATACTGTTGGGAATCTACAGGATACTATTAAAAAACGCAACATTTGGGTTCTAGGAGTTCCTGAAGGCATGGAGAGAGAGAAAGGATTAGAAGGTCTTTTTAGTGAGATACTAGCAGAGAACTTCCCGGGTTTGGAGAAGGACAGAGACATCCTAGTACAGGAAGCTCATTGAACTCCTAATAAACATGACCAAAAGAGATCCTCACCATGACACGTTGTAATCAAACTCACCACAGTGAAACACAAAGAAAAGATTCTAAAATGTGCAAGAGAGAAACATCAGATTACTCTCAGAGGATCTCCAATTAGACTCACAGCAGACTTCTCATCAGAAACCCTACAGGCTAGAAGGGAATGGCGAGACATAGCCCAGGTACTAAGAGAGAAAAACTGCCAGCCCAGAATATTATATCCTGCAAAGCTCTCATTTGTGAATGAAGGTGAAATAAAGACCTTTCATAGCAAACAGAAATTGAAAGAGCTAGACTCACTTTTAAAACATATCAAAGGACAGGAGAATGAAAGAGTAGGATTAAGTATATGACTCCTTTTTATCTTGTAACCAACTACTTCAGGCTTTTGGTTGAAAGGTAAGGAAGTTTGGTTAAGGACTCACTTTTCTTTAATTAACCTTGGAATCATGAATTAATAAGCATCTCTTTTAGAGGAGTCAACATTAGTTTTGTCTTGCTAACAGCAAACTATATCCCATCATGTCATCCATGTCTCTGTTCAGATGTCATCTCTTCAGACAAGCTGTCAGAATGCCACCCCTTCTGCATCAGGGTCTCCTTGTTTCCTATTGGTAATTGTCCAGGTATATTTTTCTTTACTGCGTTTAGTATTAAGTGATATATGGTTATTTACATGCCTATTTTCTAATCTGGTTGACCATAATCTCCATGAAAGTGGGGATTTTTAGCTCCAAAATAGTGCTTGGCATTGTTAAAATGAATGACCAAATACCATGAGCAAGAATTTTCACATTTCTTCCTAAAAAGCTGTGTTCACTTTTTTTCTTATTTGGAAAGCCACTTTATTACAGATTTCTTATATTTTTTGATGATGAAACACTTATAACAAAGAGATAAAAATATCATAAACAATGATAAATGAAAAGCTGATTATAATGATCATATGTGGAAGAGAAACACCACAAATCAATGACTGAGGGAATAAAAAAATAGTCACAGAAATGAGCTGCCTAAATAGAAATATACTACAAAAATAAGTAAGGTGGGATAAACTGTTTAAGAACTACCATAAATTCCATCATACAAACTCGTAGATACATAATTTCATTAGAATGATCAATTTTCATGAATGAACTCAGCTGTGACTAGCTCTGTATTTGTTTCAATTGAAGTATATTATGCATATTATAGATTCATACGCAGTTGTAATAATAATAGAGATCCTGTGTTCTTTTTATCCAGATTCACCCAGTGGTAACATTTGCAAAACTATTGCACAATATCACACCTAGTATATTGATATCTTACAATTTACCTATCTTACTCAGATTTCCTTAGTTTTCCTTGTATTCAGTATTCTGTCTGTACATATTTAATATTTTTATACAATTATATAATGCATGGAGGTTGCTTGTGCCTCCACTGTCAAGAAACTGAACAATTTCATGACCCTGAAAATCCTTCCTATTGTCTCTACCTCTCTCTCACCCACTCTTCTGCCCCTCCTTTGTCCTAATCCACTAGTCCATTCTAGATTTTGGTAATTTTGTCATTTCAAAAGTGCTATGTAGGTAAAATCATGCTATCTTTTTTTTAAAGATTTATTTTATTTATTTGAAAGAGTTACAGAGAGAGGTAGAGACAGAGAGAGAGGTCTTCCATCCGCTGGCTCACTCCCCAGATGGCCGCAATGGCTAGAGCTGGGCCGATCTGAAGCCAGGAGGCAGGTGCTTCCTCCAGGTCTCTCGCGTGTGTGCAAGGGCCCAGAGACTTGGGCCATCTTCTATTGCTTTCCCAGGCCATAGCAGAGAGCTGGATCAGAAGTGGAGCAGCCAGGACTAGAACTGGGGCCATATGGGATGTCGGCGCTGCAGGCCAGGGCTTTAACCCGCTGCTCCACAGCGCCGACCCCATGCTAACTATTAACTTTTTTTCATTGAGCATAACTTTCTGGAGATTCTTTCAAAATGTGAGTGTATCAATAGTTCATTCCTTTTTATTTCTGAATGGTATATGTAGTATGTATGTGCTTCAGTTTGTTTAACCACTCCTTGGCTGGTATATGTTTAAGCTGTTTACAGTTTTTGGCTATTTACAATAAAATTGTGTGATAGATATGTACAGATTTCAGTGTGAACATAAGTTTTGAATTCTTTCATATTCACTTTTATGCAGGGGGAAAATTTAGAGGGAAAAAGGGGAACATGAAACTTTTCTGACCAAAAAACCAAAAATTCTAATTGTAAAGGTTTATTGAGCTTTGTGGATGAAGTCTATGAAACAAATTGGATATTATGTAGCTTCTGAAATGGTGCACTGAGGATAACATAACATCACTTATGCAATATTCATGCCTAAACTTTATGATCTGAATCTAATTTTGAAAAAGATCAGAAAATTCAAAATAAATGGCCTATCCAGTAGTCTCTCCTTATCCTACATGACTGACAAGGTGGAAGACAATTGTCAGGCTGTGGGGCAAGAGGTATTGTCCTTGCAAGGGCTTGTTAAGGACAGCTACTTGGAGCATCTTGGAATTACTTGCAGTCATTTTTGTCTCTCAAAACCTTGCCTATGTAATTTTCACTTCATAATTTGAGCTTTCAGCAGCATCTCTATGAGCTCTTGGCTTTTCCTGATAGAGGTCTCAGCATAAACCCTGGTGCATGGCTTTCATCTGCATATGTTAGCATGGATTTGGCCATTTTCTTGCATCTGTTAAAGTAAGAACTTTTATTATTATTTTATTTCTCTCATTAATGTGTATATATATATTTTGAAAGTTTAAAAAATATAGACACGCTTAAAAAATGCATCCAATCCTAACTGAAATTATCAGTGATACATTTTGATGCCTGTTTTTATGCATAAATGCATGAATATTTCGCAAAAAATGACCATAATGTGCATAGTATTCAGTAATTTTTCTCTAGATTTCAATATGTTCACATTTATCACAGAATTACATATTATTTTATATGATATTTTGATGATTTTATAATATTCCACAGTTATAACACATAATGCATCTTTTTTTCTTTTCCCAGTCCTCATTATTGGGCATTTAGGTTGTCACCACTTTGGGACTTTTATGAAAAGTATTCAACTAATGTTACGTCACTCATCCATGATTTTTTTCCCCTTCAGCCACATTGCTAAAAGAAGACTTGCTAGATTAAATTTCAGTGAATGCTTACATTGAGATGCCAAATTGTCCTTCAAAAGATTTTAGAAATTATTTTATTCTCTTCGGCAATGAATGAGAGAGGAGTTTTCTCCTTATCTTTGCCAGTCTTGAGTAATTTTTTAGTCTATGAGAATTGATCATTTTTAAAGATGAAAGTTGAGACACAAAGCCTAGACGCGGAGAAAATGGCGGCAGGGGTCGAAGCGGCGGCCGAGGTGGCGGCGACGGAACCCAAAATGGAGGAGGAGAGCGGCGCGCCCGGCGTGCCGAGCGGCAATGGGACTCCGGGCCCGAAGAGTGAAGGAGAACGACCTACTCAGAATGAGAAGAGGAAGGAGAAAAACATAAAAAGAGGAGGCAATCGCTTTGAACCTTACGCCAATCCGACAAAGAGATACCGAGCCTTCATCACAAACATACCTTTTGATGTGAAATGGCAGTCACTTAAAGACCTGGTTAAAGAAAAAGTTGGTGAGGTAACATACGTGGAGCTCTTAATGGACGCTGAAGGAAAGTCAAGGGGATGTGCCGTTGTTGAATTCAAGATGGAAGAGAGCATGAAAAAAGCTGCTGAAGTTCTAAACAAGCATAGTTTGAGTGGACGGCCACTGAAAGTAAAGGAAGATCCTGATGGTGAACATGCCAGGAGAGCAATGCAAAAGGCTGGAAGACTTGGAAGCACAGTATTTGTAGCAAATCTGGATTATAAAGTTGGCTGGAAGAAACTGAAGGAAGTATTTAGTATGGCTGGTGTGGTGGTCCGAGCAGACATTCTGGAGGATAAAGATGGGAAAAGTCGAGGAATAGGCACTGTGACTTTTGAGCAGTCCATTGAAGCTGTGCAAGCTATATCTATGTTTAACGGTCAACTGCTGTTTGACAGACCGATGCACGTCAAAATGGATGAGAGGGCCTTACCAAAGGGAGATTTTTTCCCTCCTGAGCGTCCACAACAACTGCCCCATGGACTTGGTGGTATCGGCATGGGGTTAGGACCAGGAGGGCAGCCTATTGATGCCAATCATTTGAATAAAGGCATTGGTATGGGAAACATAGGGCCTGCAGGAATGGGAATGGAAGGCATAGGATTTGGAATAAATAAAATGGGAGCCATGGAAGGCCCCTTTGGTGGTGGTATGGAAAACATGGGGCGATTTGGATCTGGGATGAACATGGGCAGGATAAACGAAATCCTAAGTAATGCACTGAAGAGAGGAGAGATCATTGCAAAGCAGGGAGGAGGTGGAGGCGGAGGCAGTGTTCCGGGGATTGAGAGGATGGGCCCCGGCATCGACCGCATCGGGGGTGCTGGCATGGAGCGCATGGGCGCAGGCCTGGGCCACGGCATGGATCGAGTGGGCTCTGAGATCGAGCGCATGGGCCTGGTCATGGACCGCATGGGCTCAGTGGAACGCATGGGCTCCGGCATCGAGCGCATGGGCCCGCTGGGCCTCGACCACATGGCCTCCAGCATCGAGCGCATGGGCCAGACCATGGAGCGCATTGGCTCTGGTGTGGAGCGCATGGGCGCCGGCATGGGCTTCGGCCTGGAGCGCATGGCTGCGCCCATTGACCGTGTGGGCCAGACCATTGAGCGGATGGGCTCTGGCGTGGAGCGCATGGGCCCTGCCATCGAGCGCATGGGCCTGAGCATGGAGCGCATGGTGCCAGCAGGCATGGGGGCCAGCCTGGAGCGGATGGGCCCCGTGATGGATCGCATGGCCAGCGGCCTGGAGCGCATGGGCGCCAACAACCTCGAGCGCATGGGCCTGGAGCGCATGGGCACCAACAGTCTCGAGTGCATGGGCCTGGAGCGCATGGGCGCCAACAGCCTGGAGCGCATGGGCCCCGCCATGGGCCCAGCCCTGGGCGCTGGCATCGAGCGCATGGGCCTGGCCATGGGTGGCGGTGGAGGTGCCAGTTTTGACCGTGCCATTGAGATGGAACGTGGCAACTTTGGAGGAAGCTTCGCAGGTTCCTTTGGTGGAGCTGGAGGCCATGCTCCTGGGGTGGCCAGGAAGGCCTGCCAGATCTTTGTGAGAAATCTCCCATTTGATTTTACATGGAAGATGCTAAAGGACAAGTTCAACGAATGTGGCCACGTGCTGTACGCCGACATCAAGATGGAGAACGGGAAGTCCAAGGGGTGCGGTGTGGTTAAGTTTGAGTCGCCAGAGGTGGCGGAGCGAGCCTGCCGGATGATGAATGGCATGAAGCTGAGTGGCCGAGAGATTGATGTTCGAATCGATAGAAATGCTTAAGCACTTGCCTTTTTTAAACATCGATACCAGACCTCTGAATTTGTATTTTTTCTTGTTAACCATTTTAATTTGTTGGCTGGATGTATAGAGATGTTTAAAAAATTCAGTTGCTTTTTGGGGTAATTTGAATTACTTTTTTAATGACTGGGGTTCCATTTGACTGTTTGCATTGAGATTGCAATGTGCGCAATTTTTTTTGTAGTTGTGGCATCTTGTTGACATCGAATAAGACTTTGATAATAAATACAAGTTCCTGAAAAAAAAAAAAAGATGAAAGTTGATCATTTTTAAAAATATAACTTTTTTTTTACGTTAACAGCTTTATTGAGCCAAAAATGTCATGCCATGCAGTCCACACATTGGAAGTATATGATTCAATGTTTTTTTAAATTATATTTACAGATATAAGGGACTTCAAAAAGTTCTTGGAAATGAAATAAAAAGATAAATTTATTATGTGCAAAAAAGCTTGCAAACCATGCACAGTCATGCACAACCATCACCACAGTTGATGTTAAGATAATTTGAGGAGGCCGGCGCCGCAGCTCAATAGGCTAATCCTCCGCCTTGCAGTTCTGGCACATCGGGTTCTAGTCCTGGTTGGGGCACCGGATTCTATCCCGGTTGCCCCTCTTCCAGGCCAGCTCTCTGCTATGGCCCAGGAGTGCAGTGGAGGATGGCCCAAGTCCTTGTGCCCTGCACCCACATGGGAGACCAGGAGAAGCACCTGGCTCCTGCCTTCGGATCAGCGTGGTGCGGCCATTGGAGGGTGAACCAACGGCAAAAGGAAGACCTTTCTCTCTGTCTCTCTCACTGTCCACTCTGCCTGTCCAAAAAAAAAAAATAATTTGAAGAGCCAGTATTGTGGCATAGAGGGTAAAGCCACCGCCTGCAACACTGACATCCTATATGGGTGCTGGCTCATGTCCTGGCTGCTCCACTTCTGATCCAGCTCTATGCTAATGGCCTGGGAAAAGCAGCGGAAGATGGCTCAAGTGCTTGGGACTCTACCACCCATCTGGGAGACCCGGATGAAGCTTCTGGCTCCTGGCTTTGGCCTGGCCCCACACTGGCTGTTGCCGCCATTTGGGGAGTGAACCAGCAGATGGAGGACCTCTCTGTAACTCTGACTTTCAAATACATAAACAAATCTTTTCAAAAGACATTTAGGTCCTCTCAAAAACATGAAACTGTACACTGTAGCTCTTTCTCCCCATCCCTCACCCTCTCATCCCCTCAGATTTGTCACTAATTTTTTTTTTTTTTTTTTTTAGGTTTTATTTATTTGAAAGGCAGAGAGAGAGAGAGATCTTCTATCTCCTGGTTTACTTCCCAAATGTCTGCAGCAGCTGAGACTGGACAAGGCTGAAGCCAGGAACCAGGAATAACATCCAGGTCTCCTACATGGATGGCAGGAACCCAAGTATTTGGGCCATTCTCTGCTGCCTCCCAGGGTACACCTTGGCAGGGCCAGAAGTGGGACTTAATCCCCAGCACTCTGGTTTTGGTATGAGGACAATCCAGGCAGTCACTTAACCTGCTGTACCACAGTGCCTGCCATGACTTTGGGCTTCCCTGATACTCCAGTGTGGGATGCAGGTATCTTAACTGCTGGGCTGAATGCCTGTTCCTGTTCTGATTATCGTATGTATAATATGATAGTTTGTTCCTGTGTGGTATTAAATGATATGGATGTACTATAGTTTAACTATTTACCTATTGAAGTATGTTATATACACATATATATGCACATGTATTTATATATATTTTATATACATTCATGATATATATATATACACACACATATTTGTGTGTGTGTGTGTGTGTGTGTGTGTGAGAGAGAGAGAGAGAGAGAGAGAGAGAGAGTCTTTGTTTCTCTGAACTAAGAATCCAGTTGCTTGGTTACATATGCAGGTTTCTTTTCTTTTTTAAGATCACACAGTAATTTATTGAGACTGCCATCCCCTTACTCATGGTCTCTGTGTCACTTTCCACTTGTGGATCTTATAAATGCAAGTTTTTTAATAACTCTAGGAACACTTTTTTAAAAATAAGGAATCTTATGTCATCCTATTTTTGAAGTGCAAGCCAATTTTTTAAGAGGTAAACTCATTTAGTGGTTACCCATTTTTTGGTATAACCAGAATATAGTGGGATATTGAACTATCAGTTTCTTTGACTCTTGGGAGTCAGTTTAACATTCCATAGATGGGGCATAGTTTTTATACCCCACAATATGAAATAAACAAAATGCAATTTGGAGGCCAGTTATGCGTTTAACATGTCTTTAACATTTTAAATTATTTATATTCCTGTGCTGCTTTTAAGTAAAATTGTTTCCCAGAGAGAACCAGTCTGTGATCATTGCTCTGTTATAATTGAGTGCATTTTGCAGCACGTTTGGTCATGGCAATCTAGTTCTGATCATTTTATTGCAGAAGATTGGAATTTTGAGTTTGCAATGTCCACGACATTAAACTGTGAACTGTTGGGATTTGCCAACATGCTTATCAGAGTTTGAGGATATGAATACTTGGTACTGAAACCAAGCTTCTATCCCTAATGCATTTGCTGTAGACTTTTTTTTTTTTTTTGACAGGCAGAGTGGACAGTGAGAGAGAGAGACAGAGAGAAAGGTCTTCTTTTTTGCCGTTGGTTCACCCTCCAATGGCCGCCGCGGCTGGCGCGCTGTGGCCATCCTCCACTGCACTCCCTGGCCACAGCAGAGAGCTGGCCTGGAAGAGGGGCAACCGGGACAGAATCCGGCACCCCGACCGGGACTAGAACCCGGTGTGCCAGCACTGCAAGGCGGAGGATTAGCCTATTGAGCCGTGGTGCCGGCCTGCTGTAGATTTTATCAGGCCCTGAGCTCTCTCCTTTGGCTTGCATTTCCTCTGTCTCTATTTTTGTGGCTACAAGTTAATTCCTTAATAAAGATTAACTCACTGTTATGAGTGAGGTAAGATTAAAGATTAACTTTGCTTAATTTTGGGGGAACTTTGAGGATTTTTGTGTTACTCAAATCCCTGCTCTGCTCCTACTTTTTTCTTTGCCCTGGTGTCAGGGATTGGCTTACTGTGTATAGGGTGAGTGGACCCAGGTTTCAGGATTCCATGACAATAGCCTCTTAAAGAAAATTTGCCTGGAGATTGAAAGCTGCAAAATCACTGAAGTAATTGCTTAAAAAAGAGTCACAGTACAGAACTTTTTAGATTTTTGGTACATTGTGTTAACAATTTTGTACATGTTGATGTCTGTATTGGTCCTCAACACAGCCAATTAAATCTCAATTATGAAAGAGAAAAATTCCCATACTTGATTATTTTCTAAAGAATTATTTATTTGAAAGAGTGACATAGAGGGAGGGACAGAGAGAGCTCTTCCATCCTTCGGTTCACTCTCCAAATGGCCACAACAATCAGGGCTGGGCCAGCTCAAAGTCAGGAGCAAGGAATTCCATCTGGGTCTCCCACGTGGGTGGCAGGGCCCATCATCTGCTGCCTTCCCAGGCACATTAGCAGGAAGCTGGATTGGAAACAGAATAGCCAGGACTCAAACTGGCACTCTGATACTGCCGCAGGTTTCCCAGGTGGCGGCTTAACTTGCTGTTCTACAGCTGCATCTGATACTTCATTATTTAGAAATGAGATTATCATTTTCAAATTTAAAAATTTTAAAGTATTAATCTTTGAATAGTAGAAGGTGAGATTGGTCTGATTTGGTGTCCTCCCTTCAACTGAAAGTTGAGATTCAGAGACTGTCCTTTACTTGTTTCACTCTGTATTTGAATCTTGCATGTTTATGTGAATTTGAGTACTCTTTGTTCCCCAGGTGGTGGCTGTGCAGAGTGATTTGTTCTAGGAAAGGAGTTAGTTGATGGATATGGGTACTGAGGCGCCAACACTGAATGTGCTCTTTGTTCTGGAGCACAGCAGAGCAATTTGCATGCAGGCTTGTTCTTTACCGGCAATTTTGCTTTAATGTTCACTTTTACAAGATGTGCCTCCAAATGACTTTTGCTGGAATTCACTATTATTTGAATGGAATGATTTTTCCTTAAGATTCCAGGAGAGATTTTAATACAAAGTAACTTTAGCTTATGAATTGACACATCCATCAGCCACTAGTGAATTCTGTTGGCTTAAACATCAATCTCATGGTTACATGGTCAGTAGAAGAGAGCTGGAGTCAGTATCTCCATAGTCCCAAGGGTCTACTCCCTTTTTGACCCTAATATAAAGCATCAACACAGAGATATCTTAAACATTTGCTTTACAAAATAAAAAATAGAAATCCTACGAAGAAAAGCTTAGAGAACTTCATGTAGAGAAGCTCCTTTTTTTTTTTTTTTTTGACAGGCAGAGTGGACAGTGAGAGAGAGAGAGAGAGAGAGAGAGAGAAAGGTCTTCCTTTTTGCCGTTGGTTCACCCTTCAATGGCTGCCGCGGTCTGCGCGCTGCGGCCAGCGCACCGCGCCTATCCAAAGGCAGGAGCCAGGTGCTTCTGCTGGTCTCCCATGTGGGTGCAGGGCCCAAGTACTTGGGCCATCCTCCACTGCCTTCCCTGGCCACAGCAGAGAGCTGGCCTGGAAGAGGGGCAACTGGGACAGAATCCGGCGCCCCGACCGGGACTAGAACCCGGTGTGCCGGCGCCGCAAAGCGGAGGATTAGCCTAGTGAGCCACGGCGCCAGCCGAGAAGTTCCATTAAGAAAGAAGTTTCCTTGGTTGATGTATTAAAATACTACAAATTCTCAACTGAGAGTTAATGCTCAAATGTGTTTCACTTGTCCTAAAATAATACATCCATAAATATAAAACTGTAATGGTTACTTTCCCACTGTGTCAATCTTGAGAAAAAATATATTCTTTGAAAACAATTTTTTTTCAAAAGTGAAATGTATAATAAAAACGAGAAATGTGGTATGTTGGATTATTATTCCCATTTCTTTACTCCCTCTTTGTAACGCTGCAGGATATCTCAGAAGGAGGTGGGGGGATTCATCCCCATTTCATTTGTGTTGTGAGGATGTGTCAATTCTCAAGAGATCTTCAAATCAATTTTATGGTCCTGCTTCTCTCTCTTACACGTTTGTCGTTGTTCCTGGAAACAACATGTCTGTGCTAGCTGAGAATGAAGGACATAGGAAGTTGACCTGAACCTGACTTGTGTCCTGAAACAAAACCTCCCCACACAATTCTCAGAGTGCTTGCTTATGTCAGCCTTCAAACTTGTAAGTACCTTTTTTTTTGTTTTTGGTTACATA